TATTTAAAATTAAAGTTATTTATTTAAAATTATATAATAATATAATATCTAAAATTTGATTGGCTAAAATTGATAATATCATTGATGATGTAATTGTGGCTAATTGCAGTACATATATTACAACTACTAACAAAAACCACAACTATTAAAATTTAAATAAATAATTAAGGAGCCATCTTTATTTCTGAAAATATATCTTTATATTTCTTCTTAATGTTTAATATTTTAGATGAAAATATCTTTTCTTTAGCATTTTCTTTATTTTTAATATTATCAAGATATATAATAAAAAGTTTTATATCTGCTGATAGATTAATAATTTATTATTTTGAGATATAAATTAAATTATAGCTTAATTCAGACTTAATTTTATTATCTACTTATACTTTAATTATCTTTGACCTATAAATAAAGGTTATAATATTATTTCTTTAATTTATAATTAAATTAATATAGAATAATCAAGATTTATCTAGAATAAGATTATATCTTTGTAATTTCAAAACTTATGTATTTATCTTATATATATAATATGTATTTAACTTCAGTTTATTAATTTTTGTCATAATAGTAACAGTAATTTTCTTGCTATCAGTAAGTTTAACTATTACTAGAATTATTTTTTATAATTTAACTTTATTCTTTTATATAAAATTTTTATTTATAAAGTTTCTAAATACATTATTATCTAGTAATACCCATACTAACTTGTCATTTACTTGATCATTAAATTTCAATAATCTTTCTCTATTATCTTTTAAATAAATAAACTTTATTTTTTTCATAAAATTATGAGAATTCTTCTTATTTATCTTTTATATTTGCTATTTTGATCTTTGATTTAGAATAATAATTCTTGGTAAAGTGATCTGATTTGTCATAGTTATAATATATATTTTTAGATTTATTATTCTTCTAATTATTATTATTCTTTCTATTATTATAATAGCTTTCTGCTTGATCTAATTCTATTAGTATAGAACTATTATTCTGATAATTTCTGTGCTGATTTTGTGAATAATGATTATTGTTATTAGATCTGCTTGATAAACCTAGAGATCTGTCTTGTCTATATATTACTATATCATATCTAATTACTAATTTTCAAGCTACTTCTAAGATTTCTGATGTCTGATAACTGACTTTTATTTTTGTAATAGGCTTTAAATCTTCTATAAAGTATGTGACTTGATCTTGTTCACTCATATCTTTAACTTAACTAACTATATTTCTGAATTTAATATTATAATCCTATACAGATCCAGTTTGATGAAGAAGATAAAGTTATTTGTAAAGATATTACTAATAATGAGATAGCTGAAATACTTCTCTAAGTGTTATAATAAAATTATTCTAATTTTTAAAAGAAATTGTATAATTATTAGTCTTATATTTATTAAGATACTAATATAATGCTATTTTAGTTAAGAAGATTACTATATATTATACTTAAGTCTTTTTATCTGTAATTTCTTGAATTAGAAATATAATTTTAACTTGTATTATTCAGATAAGTATATTCTTATTTGGTTCTCCAGAATAGATAGATAATTTTACTAAGAGGCAAGATAAAGGCTTAGAATCAAAGAAATTATCTTCTTTAATTATCTTGATCAATTTAGTTATACTTATCATGAATTATATGAATTATTCTGTATTTATCTTTATTAAAATTTAATAAATAAAAACTAAGATGTATGTGTATAGAGTATATATAATATGTAATATATAGTAAGATATTAGAGAATGATCTTTATAATAATTATATTTACTACTATCAAGTTATAAGATTATTTTGTTAATAATTATAAACAAGATAAAATAATATGAACAGTTTTAATTTTATAATTTATGATTATTTTTTATTATTTAAAAGTATTCAGATCTGAAGTTAAAAGTATAGAATAAATAGATCATATTTATAAGAAATAAATATAAAATATAAATAAATTAATAAGAAATTTTTAATTTAAATTATATATGATTTAACAGAATTAATTAACTTAATTTGCATCTTTAAAGAGTAACTAATCATAATCCAATAATTATAAATAATATAAATAATAATATAAATAATAAATAAGAATGAGTAAGAAAATAAAAAATAATATCTAATTAAAAATATTAATTATTTAAATTAATAAAAATGAGTAAGAAAATAAAAAAATAATTAAAAAAAATATCTAATTAAAAATTTAATTATCTAAATTAATAATATAGATATATATGATAATTATTTGTATAATAATATATTAAATCTAATATATTAAATGCATAATAATTATTTATATATTCAGTATGAAATTAATCTTTTCAAAAATGTAATATAAGATTAATCTATAATACCAATAATGTAAAATAAAAATCTAAACTAAAAGAAAAATAATCTAATCAAAATTATTATAAATAATAAAATTAATTTTTTTAAGCTTATTATTATTTATTAATTTTTTAATTCTTATAATTATATATTTAATAAGCTATTTCTAATTTTTATTATTATTAAGTTAATATAATATTAATCTATTATTTATTATTTATATCTAGTAAAATTATTATAGTAATTTATAAAAAAGATAAATATTATATTTTATATATAAAAAAATAAGTAATAATATATTTAAAAAATAATATTTATTAATTTTTTTATATAAAAATTATTTTATATTAATATTATTATAATAAATAAAAAATTATATCAAAATTTTTGAGAAAAATATTTATTTAAGTTTTTTTATAATAAAATTATATTTATATATATAATTAAATATTTTAAATTAATAAAATTTAAAGTAAATTCTTATTTAGTAAAATAATATCTTAAAAAAAAATACTTTTTAATCTTGAATTTAATATATTATAAATATTAATATTTAAATAGTTTAATAATAAATATATTATTTTGATTTTATATATAAGTAATATTAAAAGAGAATTTATATTAAATTATAAATATTTTAATATAATAATATATTAAAATAAATTTTTAAAAAAATTTTTAAATTTGAATTATTAATATTTAAAAGAGAATTTATAGTAATAATTATAAGTATTTTAATATAATAATATATTAAAATAAATTTCTAAATTTAAGTTATTAATATTTAAATAATTTGATAAAGAATATAAAATAAAAATATTATTAGAATTATATTTAAATTATATTTTAATAATATATAATAAATTAATATTTTATACTTATAATAAAATATATATTTTTTGAAAATTAGATAAAGAATAGCTATTAAGAAAGAAAAATATAAATACAAATTTATATATTAGTAATTTTTTAATAAAAAAAATTAAATAATTAAAAGATAATAAAAAAGAAATACAAGTAATTATAATATTAAAAGCAAATTATAATAAATATTAAAATAATAATAAGCTATTAAATTAAGTATATAAAACTATTATTATCTTTAAATATATTTAAAAGTTATTAAAATATAAATATTTAATAATTTATAATAATAATATTAGATATATTAAATATTAATATAAATTTTAAAGATTAATATACTTAATTATATAAAATAGTTATTTTTAAAAATGATAGTTTCTCTTAATTATTCAGATAAAAAATTATAAGTTTAATTAAAAAAGTAAGAAATTTTTGTAATCTATATTTATATTTAATTATTTTATTTATATTTATTAAATTTAAAGAAAATTATTTTATAAAAATAAGAATTATAATAAAAAGATTTAGCAATAGACTATTAAAAATATAAAAAAAAGAATAATAATATTAAAATAATAAAATATTATACTCATTAAATATTAATTAATTAGTTAGATTTTTAAATATAATAAGAATTAATATAAAAAGAATTAAAAAAAAGAATATAAAATAATTTTTATTTAAAATTTTATCCAAAACTAATTATATAAATATATATTAGAATACTATAAATATATAGTAAATTATAATTATTTTTAAATTATTTTATATTATATTATTTTTAAAATCTTAGACTTAGTTTTAATAAAGTATATTTATATATATCAGATTAAGTTTTTGATAAATAAATATATATTAATATAAGTTAATAAAAGTAATAAATATATTATTTATAAATAAAAAAGTTATTATAAATTTAATAAAAAAATAATTAATATATTATAATAAATAAATTAAAAATCTTTATTATATTACTCTTATAAATTCTTTATAAAATTAATCTTAATATTTTTCTTAATTAACTTAATTTAAATTATTTAAATTATATGTAACTATTATAATTTCAATAGTTTTAATTTATTATTTTATAATTATTATTAATAATTGTTAAATATATTAGAGAAGTAAATAATAAAGAAAGAACTAATTTATTATATAAAATTTTTATATTAAAAAAATATTATATTATAAAATTATATGATTATATATAATAAATATAATTAAAAAATTTATTATAATCCTGCAAATATTAAAGAGATATTTATATTATCTATAATAATACTAGACGTGATCAGCAGAAAATGTGACAAACAAATAAATGATCTGTAATCACGTGGTCGGTGACTTTTTCCACGCACTGTATATCGGTATCTCTCTTGTCTCGCTGAAAAATGGAAAAGAAGAAAGAAAATATAAGGAATATAAGGAATAAAAAACCTAGTCGGCAAATCAAAAGCTACCAACGACTAATAAATTTCCTTGACAATCAAGAGGCAGAATCGAAGTCATATGAGGAGTAAGCTTTTTCACACTGATATTATTCTTGGAAAAAAAATTGTTTACAATAATGGATTTTTTTAGCATAGATAAAATGGAAATTACCTATTGGCCTTCTGCCAAAGGTGAAGTCATACTTGGAAAGTAAGTTATTTTTCATTTGGTACTTTTAATTTTTTAACAAGGAGTACCATACATGCATATTAACTTTTGTTATACCTGACAAAGCACACGTTTCAAAAGATTTGTTCCTACAGCTTTGCTTCATGACGCCGAACCAAATTATGCGGAACTACAAAAAATGGTAGACCATACTGCCATTTCCAAACTGTCAAATATGAGTCTAATAGAACGTTTTCAACCGACAATTCCATATCGCCTTGTTCCGCCAATGAACAAAAGTGACTACGACGACGGTTTGTTCTCGGCGGCAATTGAAGGATTGATTGAGCAAATTGATGCGAAGAACGTGAAAGAGTTGCATGAAACTACGGGATACGATTTTTTCGAGGATGATGATTGGATGAAAGGAATGATGTATCATTTTATTCAGGTATCGACTGAAGATATGCTACGGGGGTTATTGGATGCCACAGGATTCATATATAGGAGAGCCAATCCGAAACGGTTCAGTAAAAGAGTATGATTGATATTGTGTTCTAAGTTGTTCTTTATTGTTATATGACACTGAGAAGGTTTTTTTCCTTTTAATAGATCAGTAAGTGAAGAAGTAAATGATAAAGTGAGTGAAGAAGTAAATGATAAAGTGAGTGAAGAAGTAAATGATAAAGTGAGTGAAGAAGTAAATGAAGAAGAGAGTGAAGAAGAGAGTGAAGAAGAGAGTAAAGAAGGAAGTAAACGAGGATCAATCACTTGGAATACGATAATAAATGCTGCACAAATGTCTAAGTTGCCCACAAGTGTATTAGAGATTGCTATAAATCGGATATCCGAATTATACCCTAGTGATACGAATCATACTGGTATGATTTGTATATTCTATTTGTTGATTTTTAATTTAAAAAAAAATGATTGATTTACCTTATTTATTTATGATAGAGAGGATTTCAATAATCAAAGAATATCATAAAAAAGTCGATGAATTGGACTATATCACGCCAATAAAATCTGCACCTCCGGGTGAGAAAAACTGGAGGCATCATTTTAAAGTAGAAAATAAAAATAACGATAGTGATGTTGAGACTGAAGGATCTGATAATGTTATGCAAGACGATGAATGAGGATGCAACGATTAAAGACCAAACATTCTTTTGAGAAGATGATATTCCAGAATAAAGTTAGTACAAATACAACACATAATATATATTATAAATGCATGCACGAAAATAATCGCTTGTATCAGGTGTATCATTGATTAGAATTATCATAGTATACGTATTTACATAGCGCAAATTAACATTTAATGCCTTAGAATGGCTGAAAGCTTTCTGACACGCGAGGGAACTAAAGAAAATTATTCCTTCGACACTTAAAAGCATACATTTGTTTATACAATTACCATAATAGCGAGAACCGTAATCATATTCCTATCGTGAATAATGTAAATTACAGATTCACCTTATTAAACTAACACCTGATTTTTCTATTCTTATAATTTTCAAGGAACGTAATACTTTTAGGTTAGCTTCTCCAGTTACCCCCGTAATCTTTAATCCCATCTGTGTCATATGTTGTATAGTTAGTGGCGGACTAGTTGAAAAAGAATTCGACATCCAATAGGTAAGCTACCGTGACGAGTATTTCTTAAAACAATACAAAAAATTTACCTTTCCGGATTCTTTTTGAAATGATCCCACAATGTTCGGTAAATCTATAAAGGAAGGAATATTAAGGTTAATGAAAATATAACGTGCGTCAGACAAAAGATAAAATTTACCTTGTTAACAGAGGCCAATGTTAATTTGCGTGTTCTCACCAATTCTGAAACTGAATCAAATTCCTCTTGGGTAACGGCTACAAAGGATTTGCTTAATCTTCGTTCTTTGGTATCCAGCTTTCGATTTTCTTTATTATTGTTTGAATTTGCGGTGGTTACATTTTGAGGCCTTTTATCTTCATCTAAATATTGTTACTGTTATTATTATTATTATTATCATTATCGTTGTCATCATTATCAAAATATACAAAAAATTACCTTTATTTGCATTATCAGGTCGTTTCGAACCAAGAATATTGACACAATTCGAATTGTTATCGGGAATCTTTGAATCTGCGCCGACTTGCGATGGATTAGAATTTGCATGAAACTCATTCCCCACATATCCATCGTTGTCGATAGCCGCCGATATTGCTATGAATGATTTTTCGTCTGTTGGTAAGAGCTCCTCCAATGCAAAATCGTGCTGATATTTACCGCCTGGAATAATTTAAATACATTATATATATTTATCGATGACTAATTCGTTAGTAAAAAGAAACAAATTAAGATTTAATACCTTGATAATTTATAATATCCTCTCGCCAAGACTCTGAAATAGAATTATAATATTCCAACCTATTTTGTACTTCGCCATCTGGCTAATTTTTACAAGACGATATAATTATTGGACAATAAGGTTATCTTCTATCGAATCTAACAAATAAAATTCATGAGAATTGTACTTGAATTCCGGCTTGCATTTGCAGTTTCAGTAATAACTCATTGTTAACCGCAAGCTGCGCGTCAGTATCTCGAATAAATTCCTAAACATTCGAAAGAATTAAAATCTTAAAATTAACCAAAAGACAGAGCCATATTGGAATTGTAGAGAAAACCTGTTTTTCAGCCATAATTCGTTCATTCTCAACTTTTAGCACTTGCAAAGTTTGTTTTAACTTCTTTAACCGCGTTAAAGCTTTATATGGATTTAAGGGAGCATGGCGTTCGAGTTCAAATTTTCGGGTAAATTCGGATTCAACTTTAGCCTCAATAAAACTTAGTTCTGCCGGGAATCATCGTAATGCTGTGTTAATGGACAGAAGCATGTAAAAGAAAGAATAAAAATGGAGGCAAGAGAACCTGCACAAGCTTTTTCAAATTCAACTCGAAGAGTTTCTATTGCCGAATCCATCTTTGAAATTTTTAAAGAATTTTAAGATCCTGTGCAAATTCAAACGCGTCTTACACAATATGCATGCATGGTGTAGATCCGAGAGACGCGTACTTGTAGAATTTTACCAAACCAGATCTTTAAAATATTTTTTATCCTTTGCGAGTGCAAATAAATATTTAGCAATGACTTTGAATGGCCACCAAGACTTTCTCGATTCTGTCTCAAAGGTAACTTTCTTAATATTCTCCTCGAAGGTTAGGTAATAATGCATTGTCAACGCCTACGCAGGAAAGTTTCCAAATGCGTCCCAGACCGACGCCCCCAGCCTCTCCTCGAAAGAGCAAGAAAAAAGGCGACTCTACGAAAGGAAGCGAAAACGATCCTTTTTATTTTGAGAATATTGGACTCGAAAGACTTTTAGATGGAAAAGAGACACCGGAAGCGATGCAACTAAGACATTGGGAATACGAGAGAAAATGGTCGCAGATGCTTTCTTCTGTTGAGGTATCGTTTGCGGAGATATAAGTTTGGTCATGCATGTAATAATAATAGAATTAACCTCTTTAATAGAAATCGCTTTTAATTGAAAATTCGGCTTCATTCAACGATATTGTATCGTTTGTGGATAATTCGTATAGTTCAAATGAAATCGAGACCTCTTTTCAGTAAGCATTTTTTTGACGTTATAGTTAGGATTTGTCTAAAGAAGAAGTTGTGAAGCAGTTAAATTGAGACGACCAAATATGATAAAGATATCTTCGAGACATAATGGTGTAATTAAAGTGTATTGTATATATTATATCATACAGGGCTTTTGGTTTACCGTATCGGGAAATCCCGACAGCTTTGGTCTTTACGGGTATATTTCTATAAATACATTGTGAATTTAAATTTTGTAATAAATTTTCTTTCCACTAACCTTTGTCGTCTATTGATTCTAGGGATCAATAGCCCTGATAATGAATTGCTGTTCACTCAGATAGCTCAGCGTTTGCGAGAGACGAGATCAGACTATGTAGTAATGCTTCAATCTAAAGATTGTGGGAGTCTAAAGATGACAATGAAATGTTTAAATGATCAAGTTCTTGACTCTATGAATGATTACGAAAACCAAGATGAGGTAGTAAATAATTATTCAATGATTATATCTATTTTTCATTAGTAAATTTCCCATGATGTAGATGAACGATGCAGATGCTACGGATGAAGTGATTTTCGATGTCGAGAATGATAAGGTTCTTAACTGCTATTTTCATGAGATATTACCATAAGAGAATGAGTGAATAACAATTGTATTGATTTAGTTTGCCGAAGGTCATCTTCAGAGATACGACATGGAAGTATTAGCGGAATGGTATGAAGATAAGCGAAAAAAGAATAATGACGGTAATGACTTTACTGGCATCCATATCGTCGTTAAATTATGTCATCATATTTAAAGCTGACTTTTGGAAAGTTTCTTTTAAAGATAAATCCTTGTCTGCGAAAGTCGTGGTCTTGATTCAGGATTTTGAAGTTTTTGATCCAAGTGTATTAGAAGATTTTATATATATTTGCAGGTATAACTGAATTCGCGTTTCATGCTTAATAATAATAATAGTGACTCTATTTCTAAATTAGCCAATACCAAGATCGCGTTAAATTCGTATTTTTATTGGGTATTGCCACCACAATTAATGCTCTGCAACAAGCATTACCCTCTTCAATACTTAATTCGCTAAGAATGAAAAAAATACAATTGCAGAATTCGGAGCGATGTCTTGACAGAATTGTCACTGCGGTTAGAAATCTTGATCCTGTTAAGTTTTCGAATTGATTGATTGTAACGTTAATGATTTCGTTGTAGGTTCAGGTGGAAAATCATACTGGCATAAAACTAGGCAAGATGCCTTATAAATACCTCCATGAGACGTTCCTTCTGTATAATTACTCAGTTAGCTCTTATATATCTAAATTGCAGGTACATGATGATAAAATGAAGTAATTCCTATTTTACATAATTAGGTAATTATTGGATAAATTTATCATTATATTCTAGTATGCCGTCATGCATCATTTCTTCTCCAATCCATTAAGTATCTTGGCCGGCATAGATGATCAAGAGTTACTCTCAAGACTTTCGATTTTATCCGAGGATCATCTTGAAGCGATCCGCATGCAAAAATCTTTTATGAAGTATGTGTGTATAAATTGAGTTAGTTATAAAATGTGGATGTTTATCTTTTTTCTTGAGATTCCCTCAATGATTCTTCCTTTTATATCAACCAAGATATGTAGAAGCTCAACTTCCAGATTCAGATGAAGTACGTCGTCTTCTGGAAGATAATGCCTATCTAGAATCTCTCTTGCCTCGACTAATCAAGGGAATTGAACAATATCATAAAAAATTCTCGATAGCTTTCGAGTTTCTCTGGATATTACAGCAGACGTTAATTGATTACAAAGATCCGAAAATTAATGTTGATCGGAAAACTAAACACTCGTTATATTATCTGGCGATTCAGGAGGATGGAGGGCTTTGCGATGCTTATCATACACAAAAACTTTTAGTAAATCTGAAGTGTGTTTTATTACTTTATATATGGTATGCTTTAATTTTTGACTTACTAACTACATCTTTGTTTATTTACTAGAAAAATTGATTCATCATGTCTTTCAGATTTGCTTCAAAAATGTCTCGAATTTCTCTATACAAATCATTATGCTAATTCTTGTTTAACGCAAGAAATGTCGGAGATAGAAAATTTTTCAGTTCGATTACGTGATATAGAGCAAACTTTTATTTGTAACAAAGGCGAGGAATCATCTTCCTCTTCAACAGTATCTTCATCTTCTTCTCGAACAATCTTACCTAAAGCATCAAAGAATGCGCTTTTCCCGTTAACGCATGGTGAAGAAGAATCAACAAACACGCTCTACACGATTTTGCTGGAACAAGTTCGCGAATTTTTCGATGCCTTTTTCAAGTAGGTTTGCTATTGTTTTTCTGGATAATACGATTATCCGAGTACATATAAACGCTTTATCATAAAAATCAGGTATAATCTTAAGCATTATTCAACTGTAACTCTTCATGAGGTCGTCTATTATGAAAATGAAAAGCTGTTGAAACATGTTTGTACTTGTTTAGTTCATTGTTATTGTTACATATTTATAATGCGCATTATGATTTTCTAATAGCTTTTATATAATATCCAAATATAGATGTTTTCTGCTCATCCACGCGCAGCAACTCAAAAAGCACTGGGTCAACCCAATCATTATATCAAATGTCGATGTTGTGGGGATGCGAATGATGAAGACGATGAAGATGAAGAGGAATCTATCGAGAGAATATTTCCTACTCAACAAGACACATGCATCCTCTATAAAATGTATCTCGAGTTTGGTAAGATGATCAATATGTATGATTGGTTGATGGCTTTCAAGTCTATCCTGGAGCGTGATGGACCAATCGACGAGAAGGAAATCCAGTAAGTATTCATTAGGATAATTATTTTTGGTTAGATGTGATGTAAATGCCAATTATTTTTTTATAATTTTTTGAAAAGAGCGAGATTCATATCCGGTGTGACCGAGTTGCAAACCCTTGGTTTCGTAAAATCAACATCTAGGAAGGCGGACCATTTTCAACGATTGACTTGGGCGCGATAATTATATGTATCTTGGCAATAGTTGCGTGTAAGTTTTATAACGTGCGGGATAATAATACATATAATTACTTTTTTGATCGACTACTATTTTGATATTGATGGAAATAAAGCTCCGACCTAATGTAACTAAAAATGTATCACGTGGAAAATATCCACCTGTGAAAAAAAAATCATGCAGATTTAACGTGGCAATACATACGATTGGAAACGCGTTAAATAATATTTCGTTCAATCAAGAAAAGTTGAAATATGAAGGCAGATATTTGATTATCTATGTTTGTATCATGTATAGCACGACGTAAGGAGCCTTCCCATTGAAATGTCACCTTTAGAAAGTCAAACCCCTCTATGCTACATCTTATTAAGACCCTTTTTATAATCATAAAAAAAACTATTATACTCCTTAAAATTGAGAATAACGTATGCGTTCTTTTTATTAATACGGTCAAAAACTAACGATGTGTGATTAACGATGATTAATTAATCTCTATAATAGAGCTTAGCTTGAAATTTCTTGGAGTTTTCTCCTATGTTTCCCAGCACTTCGTTAAATCAAACCCTCACTATACATACAAATATAAGAAAGCATTAACCTCAAGCACGTTGCTATGCTGCAAACAACTTAAAGTCATCGAGTACTGTGCCACCGCTGAAATTTTCATTTCCATATACCGTACTTTCTCGGAGTTGTTTTGATTTCCAAATAAGGGATGGTGCTTATTTCTGGACAGTTCTTGATTATTTACCTGATTCATCCGGAATAAGCCTAAATTAGTGCAATATAATTAACAAAATTATCACCCACAATTACAGCCTCTTGGCTCAAGAAAAATTATCGTTATTGTAATTTTCTAATTTTTTTATAGTAGTGCTCACTCATCATTTTCTTACTTTTGATCTAAATTGCTGTGGTGCTTCTTCTCAGTTGTGTTCATTTCGGAAGAATACGGTATATTAAAATTTCTCTCTATATAAGAGCATAGTTATAAATTTTTATAAGAACCAAAGCCTTGATCATGTCCTTATAGAGAGGTGCAACTGTATTTGATAACTGTATTTTTGTAATACTTATATCCAAAATAAATAAATAAATACATCCCAGTTGTCGCGAAAATAGGTCACACGCCAATTTGCATTATTTATCGTTATTTGTTATGACTTTTTTTTATTTAATTAAATTAAAACACGTGACTTATTACGATAATGATAATACAATGTAACATCAATGTAATGCATGCTGAATGCAAGCTTTTTTTTTTTACAACATTGAGTGATGATGCAATACAACTTTTTTTTCAACACGCGATGATGCAATACAACTTTTTATTCAACTTTCAGCGATAATGTAATACAGCTTTTTTCCACTTCGAGCGTTTCAACTTTGCCGTGTATAGTATTTTCTTTTGTATAAATAGAGTTTCTGTTCAGAAGCTTCCTCATCTTCCTCATCTTATAAAACTGAAATTCTCGATATGTTCACGACATTCGCAGAATTAATTAGGCCATCATTCCCACCAATTATTTCTGTCAGCGAGCTTGTTCCTAACACTACACGTAAAGGCAATGTTCCAAAAAAGACTTCCAACGCATTTTTTATCTATCGAAGATCCTGTATTCGAACAATGAGAGCCAATGGTATTTCTATTCCTATGCCAAAAGCTTCAAGCATTATCGGAATTTTATGGGCTAATGAGCTACCGTTAGTGAAAGACGAATATAAACGATTAGCTCAAGAAGCAAGGGAGCTTTATAGCGTAATTCACACCGCAAATATTTCAGATATGATTATGGCGACTAATATGGTGGCGAATACTGAGATGAATATGTCGAATATTGTTCCTACGAATATAGCTCTGCCTGATACTACGAATTGGATTTAAGTACGCCAGATAATGACGCCTCTTGAATACAACTGCGGATAGATCGAAATTTAGAGATAAAGTTTTATGAAATTTGCGCCAATGCAACTAAACATGTAAATGTAGTATAAATCACAGTGCTTTAATATGTCATGTATTTAAATAAAATTTTTCTCTCTCAAAATTATAGTAGTGTTATTCTAAACGAGAATTATATTTAATAACATCACTTTTAATAATAAATTTGAGATCATAAAACAATTATCTTTAGCACGCTGCTTCCTTTGACCTTAATACATTTAGAGCACTTGAAAACTTCTTTTATAGATAATTTTTGAATTAAAGGAGTGATTGATTATTGGATTATCCCACTTCAAAAATAGAGCATGATGTAATTATCCATTTAAGCTTAAATGAGGAATTGAATAATGAAAATTGATACTCTGAATTTTCCAGATTTATCATCTGTCATTATTAACGTTAACGTTAGATAAATAATTTTGTATGAAGTTCTCAAAGATAGTGTCAATTTCATTGTTCAATTTCCTTATTTAGAATAAATAATTTTGTATAAAGTTCTCAAAGATAGTGTCAAATTTTCATTGTTCATTTTCCTTATTTAAGATAAATATAATTTATAACAAATAAAAATATTTATTAATTATCTTGTAATAAACAAAATAGATTGAGAATTTTTTCCGGTTAGTCGAAATTTAATAGTCAATCAGAATAGTTCATTTTATTTAGATAAAAATAAGTTTTTTGCTTTTTGAAAAATATTTAGTAAGCGAACTTGTAAGTTCTTATAAATAATGTTACTAAATCTTTTTCATTATTTTTATTGCTTATTTTTTTACTAATTCTTAATTCTTTCTTAATGTACTGATTTCGTTATAATCAAGTGATGAAAATTTATAATTAATTAAGAATTAAATATTTTAAACGTAATATCAAGTCATACTAACTCTTCTATAGTGCATAACACTTAAAGACACCAATAAAACTAGCCATCTTTAAATAATAAAGGATAATCATACAAAGGTGGTACAAAAAAGAAGGTCGCTATTTTGTAGTAAATTGGCCTAGCTACAAAATAGCGGCTTCTTTTTTAAAAAATAATTATCCATTTTTGAATAGTATTCGTTTAAAAATGCCTGATGAACATATCCAAAGTAATAACGTGGTTAGTGATCGTCCAATAAAATTGGTTTTTAATTTTGATTGGTCGATCTCAGATCACGTTTTTTTATTTTGGCCATGTTTCATTGGACCACGTTTTCAAAATCCGAATGCCTAGAGAAAAAATATTCGTGGATATAATATTATTACCATATAACACGTGATTTTTGAGCACGTGATTTTCAAACAAATATGTAAAAATCGATTTAACCAAAAATGGGACAAGCCACGTGATTGGAGTCTTTAAGTGTCGTGCACTGTATTTAAAATTTTTTTCTGATAAATGTAACTATAAAAGTCGACAGAATTAAAAAAGCGGATACAGTATCTAATATCGCGGTTTTGATTTATTGGCTATTATCTTCGTCTCAATTTAACACACAAATAAAAAGAGATATCCTATGCATAAACTTTAAACTTCTACAGTTTGCGAGAATTTGTCATAATGGATTCATGATGCAGAACAAATCTCAAAAAACTATAATAAATAATAGAGATTTATCTAATGATTGAATCCGAATGTATGAGAAAACATTTTTCTTTTATCTGTGGTTATCGTTGGGAATCCACTGTATTAATACTTATACAGAATTTATAATAAGCAATACTGGTACGCATGAATTTCTCGATCTGTTTAGCATCTTCAGTTACCTATTTATATTGATCGTTTACAAAGCAGGCGCTATTCTTCTTGTCGTTGGTAGGATTTATAAATTAATGCTTTGATTTATTATATGAGATGTCCTAGTTTTTTTATGCATCAAACGTTTAATTAAGCTAAAACCTGTTTCTATTCATCTTCCCGCTTAGAGTTGCAAACCGAATTTAAATATAAATTCGAATTTAATATATCTTTCAATCCTGCATTCGGTTTTAATCCGATTTTATGAAAATCGGATAATCGGTTTTAATAAATCCGATTATTCAAATTTAAACATGCAGTTCCAAAATTGGTTCATAGGATGAATCAACGATTATAAACTGATTAGCGTGTTCTTCTGATTCTTCGTAGAAGTGTCAGGAAGTCATTGGAGAACAATTCAAAAGCTCATCTAAAGGGAGAAAGTAATTAGACTGTTTATGATTATTTGATCTAATTCCTGTGCCGATCGTTTTGTGTATGCGTTTTTAAAGAGAGAATAAAAGTGAATGTTATGGTTTAATGTAAGGGAATTGGAGAGCGTTGGAATTATTTGAATTGGGAAGAAATAGGGGTCGATAGGTTATTTCGAAGGTTTAGTTTGAGAGAGGAAAAAGGGGATTACGTTCATATACTATTAACTAATCTATTTCTTAATCACATGCTTTTTCTAGTCAAAAATTTTAAACTCGTATTAATCGATTAATTCACTGATGCGTTTGTCTTTTCTGGCATAAAGAACCTAACCAATATGTTGTCTTTTCTGGAGCGAAGAATCTAACCAATCTATGTCTTTTCTCAGTGATGGAAAATGACCGGGTCATTTGGCTATTTTGAAATGACAGTCAAAAGACCTTCTAATGAACCAGTCATTTCAGTCATTCAAAATGGGTCATATCGTAAATGACAAATGACCCTATATGACAGGTCATTCAATATCATTCAATATCATTTGATGTCATTTGAATGTCATTTGCATAGTCATTTACCTAAACCAATACTAGATCAGCAGCGCACAAAGAAAATATTTTCTGTTCAATTACTCAAATTAAAATTTTAACACGAGGAATATACAAGTATGGGTAAAAAGTCACACAACTTTTGCGAATCTTTACATTAGTTGATCTATCAAAAAAGATGGCCAATAAGCAAGCAGTTTGTAAATTTTGTATAAAAGAATATATATTATCTGTAACTTTACTTAGGCCTAATTGTTTTGTTTCAAATAAAACTAAGCTTTGTCATAAACATCTTGTTAAACGTGTTAATTTTACAAGTCAAGTATCAGAAAAGAAAAGAAAGAAAATTTTAGCATAAAGAGTT